AATGCTAAACTCACATGTTCCTTCCCCACTCCCCCCTTTTCTTGGAAGGCTCTCTACTTTCAGCTGAGAATATCAATCATCGTAACATAATAAAACTTTATAAAAAATAACCCACCTAACATAGGCAACATATTAAAAATATTTTAATAAAGCTATATGCAACAAGCAGTTTGATGATTTTTATTACAGTTAATCTGAACATTCCTGTTAGATGTTTGCACGTAGATAATATGTAAACTGTGAATTCCAAAACAACCTCAGCAGCGGAACAGGCTGCTGTTATTTTATGGCTCACACTTAACACATCAAAAGTCACCTTTTCGAGGTAACAACTTTTAGCTTCCCTGGAAAGCTTTCTGTTTAAGTATTTCTTCCATCCCTTACACAGAAATAACTTTCAAAGTGCAAGCAAAATTGCCAACCATTATGACCTTCCTAAATCTGCAGACTCCTCCAGTGTTTGGCTCCTTGGCTGTTGCTCACAGTAAGACTGCAGCAGAATTACAACTGAGTCATAAAAAGGTTTTTTAATTTTGCATTGGAACTATGCCTTGTTTCTGTACATAAGGACAACCACACCCATGGTTCACAGCCATCTTCAAAAACAGTCAGAAGCAAATGCCCTTGAAGGAATATAAGAAAAGCATAAACATACAGTGAAACTTCTCCAAATCCTCTCCAGCTACGATCTGTGACTCAGGCAAATGCTGCAGACGATGTTTCTGTACTTTACAGCCCCAGTAGACTTTTCTGAATCAATTTGTCCCCCACTGTGAGTTCACAAACATTTTTAGTACACAGAACATCCTGCAGCAAGGAGATGAGCAGCCTTACTACATGGTGTCTGTCTGTATGTTTTGAATGAGATCCTTGCAAGTTCCATTCAACAGCCTCTCTTTTTTGTACAGCAAGAGACTGTGGAAAGTAATTCTTCATTCATCTTCTCCATACCACCTGTGTTTTGTGGAGTTTTTAATCACAGTGCCACACCAGATTTCTGAACAGATAAAATACAATTTAGCAGAAACTGTATTTAAAAAGAATCTTACGCTTCAGAGAATTTTCACTTCCTTGATAATCAACAAAACCCATTCAGCATTTAGAAAACAAAACAAAGGAAAGTAATTGACACTACAGAGAGATTTGCGCAGCTATGAAGCTTTTTTCTGAGCTGCCTTAGGTTGGAAGGATAAATACGCAAGATATTTTCACATTTGCCTTTACTTTTCCTGCACACAACAAACACATGGTGCTGTATGCCAGCAATTACTGTACTCAGGAAATCAGATTGTGTGACTTCCCTCAAATCCACTCTTCTTAGGTCTTCAGAGACACTCAGGCAGCCAACCTTTAAAATGCATCTTCTAGAGAGACAGCTCGCTAAGAAGTTAATACTACCTACACTGCAATAAATCCCTAGGCCTGCCCTCTCCTATTTGGTTGCTATACACCTTCAAAAGCAACCAAAAACTTTACGAACCAGCTATTCAGTGGAATTCAGGGTGAACAAACAGGGGTAAGAAGGGAGCAGCTCTCACCTGTGCGTTTTCTACTTGCTCCCAGGACTAAAAGTTCCCCTGAGAGTCTCACAGCAGTTTTATGTTGGATACTACCTTCTCCATCCAGCCGAGCTGTGGAACCCACCACTGCACTCCAGCAGTACGCGTGTGTCTTCCAATAAGTGCACCATTTTCCAAACTTCTATTTCTCCAAAGAAGCTCTTTCCTAGCTTCATCCCACACATTGTACTGCATTGGCAAACTGAAGAGGTTTGTACACTACATTCAACATGAACAACTTCCATCACAAACAACCTTAGATTTCTTACGACTGCTCTACTTTTTCTTTAAAACAGCAGGATGTGGTTTTGGGGATTTGTTTACTTGGATATTTTCCATATTTATGGAGGAAAATATTTTATGAGCCTGTTACTTATACAGCAACGGTCTATTCAACTAAATGTGAACAGATTCCTTAGAATATTCTCCCTTTCAGAAGAGCATTGGTGTCTAGTCTTGAAACTTACAATTAGATTATACCGAAGCACCATTAAATTACAAACACAAAGATCTTTAATAAATCTGCTGAATCAGCAACAGTACCATGTAACTGAAAAACAGCAACTATATCTTCATTTAAGAAAAAAGTTCTGGGTAAGAAAACATCCAGTAACCTGATCTCTGTAACACACAAATTTTATAAATAAAATTTGGAAGAAAAACATCCTTACAGGACATTGCAAAACTATTTAAGTATAAAAGATGGAAGATAAAAGTTGAAAAAAAGGCAGCATGGGTTTACCAACGACATCTCATGCCAGCTAGTTCGATACCTGAATTTCTAGTCACAGAAAAAAAAAAAAAAAAAGACTTTAAGAAGAGCTTGTATTATGTCATAAAGGACAAGTTTCAACTAAAATAGAGATATTAATACAAGATGTAAAACCAACTAGTTAAAAGAAATTAGAAGGTTGTTCCGAAGAGCAATCATCAGACTGGGGAAATGTCCTGAATAACTGGTCTGTACTGCTTTTGGCAGGAATAAGCGTTAATTTTCTTCACAGTAGCTAGTATGGCGCTATGTTTTGGATTTGTGTTTCAGCTATTGCTGAGCAGTGCTTACACGGTGTCAAGGCCTTTTCCCACCCAGCCCTGCCAGTGAGCAGGCTGGGGTGCACAAGAAGCTGGGAGGGGACACAGGCAGAACAGCCACCATCAGATGGCCAAAGGGATATTCTGGACCATACGACGTCATGCTCAGCATAGAAAGCTGGGGGCAGAAGAAGGAAGGGGGGGGACGTTCGGAGTGATGGCATTTGTCTTCCCAAGTCACTGTTACGCGTGATGGAGCCCTGCTTTCCTGGAGGTGGCTGACCACCTGCCTGCCAGTGGGAAGCAGGGAATGAATTCCTTGTTGTGCTTTGCTTGCGTGCTCAGCTTTTGCTTTACCTACTAAACTGTCCTTATCTCAACCCATGAGTTTTTGCACTTTTACCCTTCTGATTCTCTGCCCCATCCCATGGGGTGGGGTGAGGGGAGGGAGCAAGCAGCTCTGTGGGGCCTAGTGGCCAGCCAGGGTTAACCCACAATGGGGAGCTCCTGAAGGACTGGTCTTAGGACCAACCTTACCTTGCATTTCCATAGCAATGAAAAGCACTTAAAAAAATTAAACAATCAAAAAGGAAAAAGCCAGAAAGCTCTCCCTCGCTAATGCAAGAAGAAATGAATACAAAACTGGAAGCGCTGTAAGAATGCAAAATCAAAGTCACTCAGTTATCAAGCGCAAAGGATTTTTGCCGTACACAGCAAACCAGAGCTCTCTGCTGCTGCAGTGCCAGAAAAACTGAGTATCGGACTACTCGAGGCCCCTCCTTTGCAGTCTTAACTTATATATTATTGCAAGCACCTGCAGTTCAACCGCAGTAAAGAAATGCAGGTTTTGCTTAGGCTGCAAATGCGTCAAACACCTGGCAGTCGTGGTCTGATTACCACATACGCAACTGTCACTAGGCACCGACCGGTGGGCAGTGCAGCACCTCCATTTCAAGAGGCCTTCGAGACGAGACCGCTCCAAACCAAAGCTGGACACCCAGGAGGTGACAGGCTGCGACAACAAGCGTTACCGGAGAGCCTGCCACCACCACATCCCCGGGGGCTTCGAAGGGCGGC